ACACAAATGTATGTATGTATGTATGTTATGTGCTGATTTGCATGTACTGTATGTATGTATGTATGTATGTATGTATGTATGTATGTATGTATGTATGTATGTATGTATGTATGTATGTATGTATGTATGTATGTATGTATGTATGTATGTATGTATGCATGCATGCATGTATGGGGCTGTGTGTGTGTTTGTTAATTTAATCAGATTGTCTGCAAAGTTCCATTCTTTTATGAAACTTACTGTTTTCTTAATATAACCCGGTCCAGGGGTTCAAAGATCCTCAACAATCTTCAAAATAGGACAGACAGTCGTCTCTTTCAAGTAATGCAGCTGTGTGATGATCTTGAAAGGTCAATAAATGGCAACATGAAAATAGCATCTCGTCTTAACATGAAAGCTCACTGCGAGTGGGCTGGGAGAAGAGATGGCATCTTAGGGTGGCCATGTCTTCATAAAAATAATTTATTTTTAGGTTGTTATTTACGGCTTTATTAAAGGTGGTGAAAACTGTCAAAGGTACTGCACAGAAAGATTTTTATATTCTAAATAATATTAACACAGTGTCAAATGAGGTGAGCTCAATTCTTATTTCACACCAATCATAGTTAGAAGCTTTTTATTAAATTGTAAAGTATCAACATCCTAAGGCCTTGAGGGATTAGGAGTAACTGGTAAGTGTAGATGACCAATTTTGCTTGTAGGCAGACCTTGGAGCATATCCAGGGGAGAAGCAAAGACTACCATGTAACTAGCAAGGCTAAGTCAGTTGCTCAATTTCCTGTGGTTTAGAATCAGTTCTGGGTTGCTGATCCTCAGTTTCCTTAGAAAAACTATACCGACTTTGAACTGGTCAGTGAATATCACCACATTGTTCCAGGGATGTTGTTCAGAACCGTTTGAGCTGATCATGTTGATTCATTTACCAAGCTATAGCTTTGGTTCTGGGTTCAAGCTGCCAAGCAGTTTGAGAATCTGTGCTAATCTGAGACATATGGGACGTTGCTAGACCTGGACATTGAAGTGTTGCCAATCAGAGGGGAAAATGTCAGATATTGAATTTTAGGTCATATCAACCAGTCCTAGCCTGTGGCAAAACTTATTTTAAAACAATGTCTTTAGAGCCTATTCCTAGCTACCAAAATAAAATGGTTTAAACAAGTGTAGTTGGATGAGAATAGGAGATGCCGATACCTTGATGTATGGATTAGAACTACATGGTCATGGACTACCTGACTGCCTTACTTATATACTGAAAAAGTAGGAATTCAGGAAGCAGGCGGTTGGGAAGCCAGCCATATACTGTTCATCCAGTTTATTAGCTTTCATATAAACTCTAAACCGGGTAATAATTGTAAGGGTTGGAGCCATAACCAATATGAGGAGAGAGGAAAGGAAGGAGTCTAGCTAATGTGTAACAACAACTATAGTTACAGTGACAGTGTCCAATATTTTGCAATTATTACATCAGCATTATATATGTGACAATAGTAACTATAGTTATACTTTTAGTTTTGTAATCTTGGTTATTTCCGTTATTACAAATGCATTATTTTATTGACCACCACAACACAGAAAACAGGTTGTATTTTCACCGAATGCTACCATACGTGCATGATCTAATAATTTCTAAATTCTTTTTGAAATTTTACTAAAAAATATATCTTTCTCTTTAAATTCAGATAAAGACTAACTGACACATACACAAACTAGCTTAACATTTTAACCCACAATTGACAAACCCTGTGTGCTGGGAGCATGTGAATGTTATGCAAGATTAACATCAGGTAGGGTTGGACAATGTGGCTTAAAAATCTAATTTTTAACCCCCTTTGTTTCCTAATATCAATCAAAAATTACATACATTACTTTCAAGAACTAGCTTTATTTTAATCGTTCCCGTTTGGAGGTGAACCTAATTTAAAGTACCAAATCCAAGATAAGAAAATGCTTTAATAAAATGTTTCACATTGGAAATATAACAAATCAAATATTTGCAGCTACTTAGGCTATACAGTCACCTAGCTTATTATTTTTGGATTCATATCTAAGAACAAAAAATTATGAACTGATGTCACCCTGAGCTGTGCAAGCGCAAGAAGTGCATTGGTGAAAATAAAATCCGGATATTCCTAAAATGCAATCTTCATAAACAGAAAATGCAATTCTTTGTTTTCATCGATTATACAAACTGTCTGACTTTCAAAAAGCTCAGAAAACTTCATAAAAGCTTTGTTCCTAACTCAAAATTACATGAAATTGAACAACAGCAACTTATTTAAATCTTGAATCTTCAATAATTGAGAAAAGTATAGCTAGAATGAATTGACTGTACATCATAAATTGAAGGATTAGCAAATTAGCAGCTAAATTCTTTTGTCATTTTCTAACTCTGTGTTGGAATTATCTGGGACCCCTCATACAATAGTAGCAGTTTTTTTGTTTTTATCAGTTGGTTACATTTTTTGTAAAGCCAGGGTCACATCAATAGAGCAGACTTTTTAATTTCCACTCCAAGATTTTTTTTCACTTCTGTCTCTGTGCCCCACAAATTGAAATACCGTATTTTCACGACCACAAGGCGCACCGGACTAAAAGGCGCACTCTCAGTTATGTGTCCCATTTCTGTATTTAACACACACATAAGGCGCACCGGACTATAGGGCGCGTTTTTTATATACAGGTACATGTCCTCTACTACCTTTAAATAGCTCTACTGCGTATTTAAAAATACAGCGGGGGCAAAACTGAGTATGATTGTGCTTTATTCATGTATTTATTACAAAGTATTAATCAAACCTGGCAGCTGGCCGTGAGACAGACACATCGCAGATGACACAGCGCTGTGGTCACTCCTAAATTAACTTAAAATCCTGAAACCTGCCGACGGAATATGTTCGCTTTTATTGCCGGTATCCTGGTGCCTGCAGTTTAAATTATTTAGATGAAAAACACCTGCCAGCAGCCGCGGTGAGGCTGCTGTTGAAGGGATTTACTGTCGGTGCACCGCTGGTATGTGGGGGTCTGAGCGGCTCCGACAGAAATAGATAATCTGGATGAACTGACTGCAATTATTAAGTTTTCAGGTGGCCTTTCTCACTTAAAAACATATTAAAACTACTTTATTCCCACTCATCACAGCAAATATAGCTGCAAGATTTAGATTATTTAGATGAAAAAACACCTGCCAGCCACCGCGATGAAGAGGAGGAGACGCGCCCAGAGGCAGCTGTTGAATTAAGCTTTCAGGTAGAAAAATAGAGCGGGAGCAAAACTGAGTATGATTGTGCTTTATTCATGTATTTATTACAAAGTATTAATCAAACCCATCAAAGTCATCATCCTCTGTTTCTGAATAAAACAGCTGCGCTAAATCAGACGTGCCAGTTTCCCCTTCTTCGCTGTCAGTCACTTTCCGTGCAGCGCAGCTCCTCAGAAATAATGCCGGCTTTTGCAAAAGCTTGAACAACAGAGCCAGCAGACACGTTAGTCCAAGCATCTACAATCCATCCGCAAACGGTGGCGTAACTTGCCCGGCGCTGCCTTCCACTTATCCTGAAACTGTGGTCTCCGTCTGTCATCCATCGCTCCACAGCCTTACTTTGGACGGCCGCTTAAAACCGATGTCGAGCGGTGGAAGTTCCTTTGTCAGACCCCCGGGATAACGGCGAGCACAGTGTTCATTTGATTCACCTTTTTTTCACATCGGCTGTGAGATGGGCACGCAGCAATGGTGATGCGTGGAAAAAACCACCGTCTTCTCAGATACACCTGCCTCAGCCACGCATCCACCCAGCCTTTTTCATTTAATATCATATGTCATCAGAGCGCTGTGTCTGTCTCGCTGTCAGCTCCCAGATCTGCTTCTCTGATTGGTTGATGCGGCGCGTCCAGCAGCAAAACTTCAATTTTTCCATCTCGAGCAGCAGCAGCGCGTTGGCGGCGCTTCAGATGCTTAAACGCTCCCGACGTGCTGCACCAAAACGCGCTGCGGGACCTTTTGCTGCACCTATATGCGCGTCAACCATTGACTTTGCATGTAAACTCGCTGCTTCTGCTGCACCTGCTGGGTCCGGTTCACACCGATGTCGAGCGGTTGAACAGCGAGCACAGCATTCATTTGTTTCCCCATGTTTTTCACATCAGCTGTGAGATGGGCACGCATGGAGTTACATATTAACAGCGATGGTGAGGGGTGGAAAAAAAAAACACCTGGTCTCCTTACATTCAGCCACTCTTTCATCATCTCCTCAATGAGGTGGTCTCAAAAGTCGCAGTTACAACACACATAGGGGGCACCGCACCATAGGGCGCACCGCACATTTTGAGGAAAAAAAAAGACGTTTAAGTGCGCCTTATAGTCGTGAAAATACGGTAATGTAAAATAGAGAAATAACAAAAACAAAAAAAAAAGTGAATGCCAGCGGCATATAAGGACATCATACAGGAGGAAACAAATACATTATAGTAAAAACTTGGTATGTGTAAAAAAAAAAAAGAAAAGAAAAATAATGAAAAATAATATTAGACAAATAAAAACATGTAACTTGTCAAGAAAATATTTAGTTTTAACTGCTTTTTGATCTTCATGATCAACATTTTTCTTTCCAGCTGATTGACTGTGGGGTGGAGTGTTCTCAAGGATTCAGATCAAACCTGTAACCTAACCTAAGCAGGTTTGCCGTTCAACGTATGTTAGCATGGTAACTAGCCTAGTTGAGAATGAATCCAGCTTAGTGGTACTGGCAAGTCTGAGTTGAACCTGTAATTATCTAGCTAATCGGTAATCCTGCATCATGGTACAGGCCTCAGGTGGAATTTGCTTCTGTTTTTGTAATTATAGCTGTCTTTATAAAAGAAAAAAATTATGTTAAACAAAAAGTTAATGCATGCTCACTCCCTCCCATTGACTACTTTTACAGAAGATATTAGAAGTTAAAAACACACAACTCTGTTGTGGTACCTTCTGCCAAACAAATCTGAGCTGAAAAAGTAGAACCTACCAATAAGGATGGAGTAAAGGATCCCAGGTCTGTCAGAGGGAGGTTGTATGTTTCTATCCTGGTCCACAGCTTGAATAGGAGGCGTCACATTAAGGGGATTCGTCTTGTTCTGGCAACATAACAAAAGAAAAGAACGTTACATGCAGAGTTCTTTGCGCTGTTGATTTAAAGGTTTTTTAAGATTGAATCATAAAAAAAATTTCTATTTTTTTTTTTCTGACTACCTTTAATTTTAATCACGCAGATGCTCAGATGCCTGAGGTTTTTCATGAGATCTGCTTAAACTACTGAGCAATTACAAATGACCATTCCCCTTTTAGCTCATAATGGATATACAGTATGTGCTATTTTACATTTATTGAACAGTCATAAGCTTTGTGATTAGTGCTGCATAGAATGAAAGTTTTGTTCGTGAAGGACTAAAATAAAAGAAGACGAAAGATTATGAATACTTTTGCAAGGTGCTGCAAAATGAACATTTGTGATCTTCCACACTAATTTGTTTAGACGTACCTGGAAGATCTCTGCTCTATAGTAATCTAGAATGTAATAACTTTACATTTCCTTTTCATTTCTCACTGATAAAAGGGAATCATTTCTATAGGTAAAAGTTCACTGCACACATTGAAAATCAATTTCTCACATTTTCCACCTGCCTGCCTGTGTTTACTTTATGTGCACACCAAATGTGATGGAAAATGGCAAGTGTGCCTCCATGTATGTTTGTTTGTGGTCACGCAATGATATTGATTTACACTAGTGCAATATGCCATGGTCCCCAATGGGAAAACCCTTGATATATTGAATTAAAAGATTTTTAATGCATAAAAGCAACAGACCTGGATATCATATCTCAAGTGACATCTAACATGAATTTTCCAAATGGAGTGCATTGCGTCTGACATATAACGTGCTGTGAAAATGTGTTTGTTACAGATACAGTTGTTTCTGCAGTTTTATTTAAGTGAAAAGTTTTAGAGTTAAAAAGATACATCAATAAAAAATAACACCAGGCAAAAACTACCAAAATAAAAACACAAAAGTTAGTTTTATATTTGATTTTCACAAATAGAGGACAACCATTCAGAAAAAGAAAAAGAAAAAAAAAACAAAACTTGCCCTGTTTGAAAAAAGCTAAGACCTCCCCTGACCATAAAAGATAGAAATGTTTATCTATTTTGTATATCATTTTGTTTTTTGAATAAAAGTATTCTACGTGATCATCATACCAATATATGATGGTATGGGGCTGCTTTAGAACCTGGATTACTGGCTGTAATCTAATAGAGATGCACCGTTCCAGTTTTTTTCTGATCCAAACTGACAAATTTACCTGGTTAAGTACCAACCAATATCTGATCCAACCGACAATGAATGATCAGTATACCTTGCATTCTGAGGGAAGTCTTTAAACTTGACCTAAATATTGTTACGAAATGTAACAAATCAAAAAATATATAAATATACCCTATATATTAATAACAAAAGCAGATGGACATTAGGTGCAAAACTAAAGACATAACAGTTCCATGTAAAGTGCACTTAATTGGATCTAAAACATCTCCTATCTGTTGGGAGCTGGAGAAATCCCATATTTCTCCAGCAGAGTCCGCCGTGGATCCTCTGAGGGAGCCTCCTGCACAGCTGCAGCTCGTCAAGATCATCAGAGGATCCACTACATAAGCTGTCTTCAGACCTTGCCTCAACGCCGCAGTGTTGTTCCAGTTGGTCAGCGCTAAAGCCTAGATCTTTGAGTATCTCCATGACTTTGAATCCAGGTTGGATTCTAACCACTATCTCTGTGTTTCCAGGAAACCCGTGTCTCCTCCGTGAAAGCTCAGGAAGAGCTAACCTGCCGAGCCGACCCTCTGAGCCAAACCCTGAAGATTCTCTGAGAACCTCCAAGCAGCTCTGGACCAGAGCTGGGAAACCTAAGCTAAGGTCTGTTCAAGCTAGACGTGAGACGCTGAAGCAGCTAACGGACTCTGCTGATAAACACCTCTCCAGAACCAACAGTGACTCTCCCCAAAGAGAACCTCAAGAACCCTCAAGGTACAATCAGAGCTCACTTGGAAATCAAATCCAGTCAGCAGTCCTTAACCGCTCTGTCTCTCACGCAGACTCCGGTGAAACCAGAACCCAGGCCCGAACCTGTCTTCAGTACATTCTGTGTGTTGTGCATAATAAACGTGTTAAACTTTCATCCTTGTGTCCGTCAAGTGGTGTTCTGCATAATTGGGTCTCCATTTGAGAACCCATCATGACAGAACACTGCGGCCAAACTCAAGGCCCAGCAGTTCACCAACTCCGTCGATTAGAGGAACAGGCTGCCCAAATCCATGGACATGGCCTGGCTCTACGTGAGTTAAACACCCACATTGAAAGACAGAATCAAGCAATCCAGGGTTTTGTAAATTACTTCAACAGCGCTAATGCTGCGTCTGTTCAGCAACCATTTCCGGGTCCAGTCCCTCCCCCGAGGTCACAACCTGTGACGTCATCAGAGTTCCGTCCTAGTCTTCCTGAGAAATTCTCCGGTAACATGAAAGATTGCAAAGGATTTTTATTCCAGTGTCGGTTGATATTTCAGAACTCTCCTGGTAGCTTTTCCACAGATCACAAGAAGATAACGTTCATTCTTTCTCAGTTAACAGGAAGAGCCTTGGAATGGGCTCAGGCAAGATTTGCCACGGACGACAGTTTAAATTGCCGTTTTTCTGACTTCATTGCTGAATTTACCCAGGTTTTCAACCAGGAAACTGACAAAACTATTGATTCCAGAGCTCCTTTCAGCCTTAAACAAGGAAATTCATCGGTGGCAGATTTTTCAATAAACTTCCGGGTTAAGGCGGCAGCTTCCGGATGGAACCAAAGCGCCTTGAAGGGAGCCTTCTTCATGGCATTAAACGAACAGATTAAAGATGAACTAGCAACCCTCGACGAACCAGCTTCCCTCGAAGATTTAATTCGCCTTTCCATTAGGCTTGATAATAGGATTCGAGCCAGAAACAGTTCTAAGAAGCTGAGCAATTTCTCTTCTGCCTCTCTTAATGTGACTGTTTGTTCTCCCTCTACAGAGCAGATGCCCACTCAGAGGTCTAAGTCCCAATCTCTACCATTGCCCGTTCAAGCCTCTCATTCGGGGGAAAGGGATTTTGAACCTATGCAGGTGGAACACACTAGGCTCACTCCAGAGGAGAGACAGAGGCGTTTCCTAAGTAAGCTATGTATCTACTGTGGCGAGAGTGGACACTTCATCGCCTCCTGTCCGGCTAAATCAAAAGCCGGGGCCCGCCAGAGGATCTGAGTAGTCTGGCGGGCCAAATTAATACAATAAAATCTCCTCGTTTGTTGCTGCCTGCCACGCTCTTCTGTGATAACCAAAGTCTCTCTTTCTCCGCTTTCATCGACTCAGGCTGTGAGCGTAACCTAATCGACTCTAACCTCGTCCAGCAACTCCAGATTAAAACCGTTCCTCTCTCTCAGCCTCTCAGTGTGTCCGCCATAGACGGAAAAAGACTCCACCGTGTTACCCACCAAACCCAGCCCCTCGAGCTACTGCTGTCAGGTAACCACCGAGAGACAATAACTTTCTTTGTTTTTCCCTCTGCATGTTCCCCGCTGGTCCTCGGGTTCGAGTGGTTGGAGAAGCATAACCCTCACATTAATTGGACTAAACGTCTTCTGGAATCATGGTCCACTACGTGCCACGAAACCTGCCTTCGTTCTGCTGCCCCTGTGGTGGGGCCTCCTAGTGGTGGGGGGGAGATGGACTCTCCTGACCTTTCTTCAGTTCCCTCTGAGTACCATGACCTAGCCCCTGTCTTCAGTAAGGTCAGTGCGACGTCCCTACCTCCACACAGACCATACGATTGCGCCATTGAACTTTTACCTGGTGCACCCCTTCCTAGCAGCAGATTGTATAACATTTCCAAGCCCGAAAGAGAAACAATGGAAAAATACATCAACGAATCATTAGCTGCTGGAATAATTCGCCCTTCATCCTCTCCATTGGGCGCCGGTTTCTTCTTCGTGGGCAAGAAGGATGGTTCCCTGAGACCCTGTATTGATTATCGAGGTTTGAATCAGATCACAATTAAAAATAAATACCCACTGCCTCTTCTCGCCTCTGCTTTTGAACCTGTACAGGGTGCAACAGTGTTTTCCAAGCTGGACTTAAGAAACGCCTATCATCTCCTTAGGATACGAGAGGGTGATGAATGGAAAACTGCCTTTAAGACACCCTTGGGTCAATTCGAATACCTGGTGATGCCCTTCGGTTTAACAAACGCTCCTGCCTGCTTTCAGGCTTTGGTTAATGATGTTCTCAGAGATTTCCTCAACGTGTTTGTTTTTGTGTACATTGATGACATTCTCATCTATTCCAAGGACCTCCAGGAACACAAGAGACATGTCCGTCTTGTCTTACAGAGACTACTGGAGAATAAGTTGTTCGTGAAAGCCGAGAAGTGCGAATTCCATCAACCTTCAGTCACCTTTTTGGGGTTTGTGCTCGAGGGCGGCCAGGTAAAACCTTCAGAAGACAAGATCAAAGCAGTTTTAGACTGGCCAGTTCCTGAAAACCGAAAACAGCTACAGAGGTTTTTAGGGTTCGCTAACTTCTATTGTCGATTCATCAGAAACTACAGTCAAACCGCCCTTCCATTAACCTCTCTGACTTCCATTAAACAAACTTTTCAGTGGACTCCCGAGGCTCAAGCCACCTTTGAGAAACTCAAATCCTTGTTTTCTAGAGCTCCCGTTCTGAGACAACCTGACCCAACAAAACAGTTCATCCTAGAGGTGGATGCTTCTGATTCTGGGGTTGGAGCGGTTCTCTCCCAGTGGCTCGACTCTGATCAGAAGATACACCCATGCGCATTCTTCTCTCGTAGACTCTCTTCCGCAGAACAGAACTATGACATGGGTGACCGAGAGCTCTTGGCTATTAAGTTGGCGTTGGAAGAATGGAGACATTGGCTGGAGGGAGCTGAGCATCCGGTTCTTGTATGGACAGACCACAAGAACCTGGCTTACATCCAGTCAACCAAGCAGGCAAATCCTCGCCAATCCAGGTGGTCAATCTTCTTCTCACGTTTCAACCTTATC